CTTGGGGGCAGAAGGAAGTGGAAATGAACACACAGCCTATGCTGGCTACATGCCAAAGAGCTGTGCTCTAGTGCACCCCAGTTTTTGCATTTCCTGAATCAAAAGTGAATGTCTGTCCAGTTGTTTAATCTCAGTTTAATGTCAATTTAATCTCTGCACCTTAGATTAACTTGCAAAGACTAAACTGATTCAGCCTCGGGCTTTTTGACTGTCTGTATTTAGCCCAATTGAACTGTACTTTGGACTACCTCCTCCCTTCTGAACTGGAAGTCATGTAGACCAACTCTGAACTTTAACGCTATTTATGCCAGCTCCACTCCAGTGGGCCTTCCACAATATTTTAATGAAAGTGCTGTCCAAATAATTTTAGTCATTGCTACTAAGTAGCTGAAAGCTGACACAAACCCTTTGAAAATGGAGGGGTGATATTAGGAACACACATCATTTGGAGACATTTATTCAAAATTATTTTTTCTCTTTTTTGTTAAAACTAGGGGACAGAAAGAAATCAACTGGCTGCCTCTGAATCATTCTGTGGTTTTCAGACTGAATTCTTTAATGGCAGTCTCATTGAGATAGATTTAGAAGTTCTTTCTGCCAAATGCTGTTTGCTTTCATCTTCAGAACTGTCTGCATTAATTATAAGCAACTCCATTTAGAAGGGTACATATTGTTCTTATGTCACTGCGCACTATATTAGATGCGAGGGAGTAAGCCTGCACCTGCAAATGAATTCAAAGGGCTCAGTGTAAAAGTCTGCTAAGAAATATTGAATATCATACCAGAAGTCCAGATCAGCATATGGATCATTGTGGATGCAGTTACATAGGTCTGGCACAAAGTGGACTTTGCAATATGAATGTTCCACCTAGACTTAACAACCCCAGGATAACTTGGAAATAAAGGTGCACACAGAGGGAGGACAGAAGATCTTTTAGTACATCCTGACATTTATCAAATCTGGGTATTGTAAGACTGATGTTGGAATTCCAGAGGCAGAGAAATGCCTCACAGAGAAAATGCCCAGCTGGCAACCATTTCCTCTAACTCAGGGGACCCTTTGCTCTGTTTCTTCCACTTCTTTCGTGCATAGATAGAGGCAGCAAAATCATTAATTTAACTCATTCAGAATCTAGCTTGAAGTCAGTGCAGCCCATGGAACAGTGGCAGTGTGACTTAAGTGGCAATTGCAGTGCCTATCAGTCTTAGTTTCCAAATGATCTTAAGTTTTAAATCCATGATACTACAATAGTCAAGGTGACAAAGGCATGAAAGCAGAAAGGAAATTCTTCTTGCTCAGCATTCACAAAAAGACCTTCTCTGTTGTTTTCACCTGAAACGTACGTATCCATTAGATTCCTAAACTGCAAGCTTGAATAAGTAACTGGTCTACTCCTTCAATCAAGATGGCACCATCATTTCTGTCTGATTAGTACTGCCTTGGAATAAATCACAAATATCTAGCTATCATCCAAGCCCCTAAGTAATTCAGAGACAAAACACTCATTTGAGCCAATCAGGACAGACAAGATGGGAATGGAGAACTCGGCACTAGCAGCATAATCTGAATGTGGTGCAGACAACTTTCCCAAAATCATCAATTTACCTCATAATTAGAAAAAAAAAGAAATGGAAAAGCAGTCATGTCCTTTACTTTTTTTTAACCACATCAGCACAGACAGCTCATTTAAAGACACTTAGCTATAGCTCTGATCCTGCAGTTTTGATGTACAGACTACTGCAGCCCCACAAAGATTTCAACAACATCTTCACAGGCACAATGGATCACAGACCCACTGGACCACAGACCCACAAGTATCCAGTATATTGCAGGACTAGCACATATGGTGCTGAAAACCAGAGAAGGTTAGAAGCAGGAAATGATTAAAGTAGGGCTCAGACTGGATCTGGAAAATGTGTTTTATTCAGAATATTTAAATCATAGCCATTTACTAAATTATTTGTACAACCTCACACAACAGGTCCCTAGGCTGACCAGGTTCTAGACAATATCAGAATATAAGAGATAAATAAAAATAGACCAAAATTTACATATTGACAGAAGACCATACAATAAAAAGGTTGCATATTGTAGGAAGAGGTCAACTTAAAAAAAAAACACCACCATGTTTTGTACAGTTATTCCACTTGGACTAGATGATGCCTTGAATCACAATTTGTCAGTTTCCAATAACAAGATGTCTTTGGCCCAAATTCAAATACAAATCAACTTAAAAAGTTATTTCCCCCTACAAATAGCCCAATTACACCACCGTACTCCAGCCCTCCCAAACAATTCAAGAAAAATGCTTTGCTGAAATAAAAAGGAGTGGAATGCTTTACAATACATTGCAACTTGGATAATGCCAGTATGCAGGCTGGATCTCAACTATATGTAAAAAATCAAAATTTTGAGGAAGATGAAATACTGTTTAACTACTCTGGATGTCTAAATCACATTTGACAAGAGTTAAATAATCCCTAAACTAGTGAGTGATTGTCAACCACAGGGCCATGGCACCTTGGGGTGCCTTGAGATCCTTTCAAGCTTGCTGTGAGGTGCCACGCAATGTCAGCACTGTTAAGTGTTCAAACAAGATTCACACAATAAACCTAGAGGTTCGATGTTACAAACACCTCACCTGCTGTAGTCTGAATTCTCTGAAATACAAGAATTGCTCTATTCTTTTTCTGTATCCAAAAAAATGAGTGAAAATTAAAAGTTGGCATTTTCCAAGAGGTGACTTAAGTCTTAAGGTTAAGAACCACTACCCTATACATCACAGTTGAACTGAAATGATTATTTTGATGACAGAAAAAAGGCCTAATGATACCCAAACGCTGTTGCTACTTTGGAATTTCTTTTTTAAGACACCCTAGGATTCTTGGTGTTCTGGACAAGCTGAAAAACGTATACCTGTGTCATATCTCCTAGAGAGTCACACATGAGTAGTGTTTTACGCCCTAGGTAAGCAACCTGATCCACCTGCAAAACTTGTCCGGCAACCTATTAAATATCGCTCCTGTTTTATTACCTTAGTTTATCATCCTGCTTTTCTCTGTTACCTTCGCAAAGCCAAGTCAAGGAATACTGACAAGATTACGATGATTATGAAGATTATTAAAACACTTTTACAACTCTAGTCTTTTAACTATTTATACTATTAATTTGCTTTTCATACTTTTTAATATAGAAAAGACTAAGCGGTTTCCTTCTTGGCTTGATTCAGCTACACATTTTAGTTCTCTCTCTCATACAAAAATGTCCTTTCATCACTCCACCAAGGACGTTAAACTCTCCCAAAATATTTCTTCTTCAGGTGTGATTGTAGGAAATATATCCAACTGTGGCAATGGAGTTTTATTTATTAGTAAAGAATATTGCTTCAATGTTTGTTACCTTGTATCACTGGATTTTTTTTTTTAGCACAGACTCAGACAAAAGACTTGAAAAAGTTGCAGTAACCTGAGCTATGAACAGGTACGTCAAAAACCTGCGGGCCCCACATGCTTGTAAACGCTGAGGTGAACTCACTCATTTGCTTCGCTTTTCCCTTTCAGTTTTGAGTCTTTCAGAATATGGTCTTTAAACTTAAAGGGAAGAGAGACAAACAAGCAGGAATGCATGCTACCTTGGACAGTTACTCATCCAAATGACACTTGAGGGGTTCTTAGCATTTGATGACACAAAGAGTGTAACCTTTTAAATGCTTTATAATTGCACTGAAATTGTAAGAGTGACACCCCAAGCACCTTCAGCTTGGGTCATAGATGATGATGATGATATTATGGCATGAGACGAAGAGTCAACACATCTAAAATTACCCTGGGGCTCAGTCACTCACTGACCGCAAACTAGTCCTTTGAATGAGCCTTAGCCAAAGTTGTCCAGCTAGTAGGGTAGTGCTTCCCAAACTTCTCCTCAACATGACTTAATATATGGCCCCATTTCCTCAGTCTGACCCCTCACTCCCAACCCAAAGCCCCCCCCCCCACTTCCGCGACCCCATCTGCTGATGTTGCGACCCCATTTGGGGTTGGGACCCACAGTTTGGGTAGCAGAGGCACTGTAGAAGGCAGGGTAAACATGTACCTTACAGATTAATATTGATATAGAGAAAGCAAGAGCTTCAGCTTTTGTGAACTTGAGCTCACTTTCTCAGAGGTGCTCGAGTTCCCACAGCCCCAGCACCTCCAGCAGTGCCTGTTGGACATTCACACGGAAGCTGGACAGAAACCAGCCAAGTTCACCAGCAGTGAGAGCCTGTCGGCAGTTATGGTAGCCGCCGAAGCCACTGGTGATGCGTAGGGGGTGCATGCGCACAACCTGCGATTGGCCACCACCACCATGGCCTGCAGTGCCTGTGGGCACTTGCCACTTGCCACCACCCCCCCACGCCTGCTGCCAGCACTGCTGCGGCTGCCTGTGGGATCTCCCCATTTGCCGCCACCATCTGTGGTCAGTTGCCGTGCCCCCCCCCAGCCTCCAAGGGCCCGCGTAGTTCATGGCCGAGGCAGTTCCAGCACGCGGCCTTTCCTTCACACGTGCAACAGGCTCTGCATAGGGTGCAGTTTGCCAGTGAACAGTGTGATCCTCCCTTTGTGTGTGTGGCCAGTCTCTGTTTATTGCACGCTTCCCTAGCCAGCTGCACAATAAATGTACCATGTGATGGGGAACCATCACCAAACTTACGAATTTTCATAAAATTGATGACATTTCACAACGATGAAATTTTCCTTTGCACCTAGGGGACATTTTACAACCTTTGCTTTCTCCTCTGCCTGAAGAAGGGCGTGTGCCCAAAGCTTGCAAATAAAGATACTGTTTTGCAAGTATCTAAGTCTGATAAAAGATCGCGCCTCTGCCAACAGTTCTGGTGCCTTTCGCTGCGGCTACAACCTGGATCCCTGCAACAGGGAATTCGGGGGCGCACGGCTCCCAGGCCCCGACCACCGTGACAGGCGTGGTGCGATGACCCCCGCCCCGCCCCGGGCCGCACCTTGCACTGCGCGCTCGCGCCGTACTTGTCGTTGCGGAAGGCGCCGGCGTTCTGGTGGCGCTGCGGCCGCGTGCGCGCCACGTTCCCCCGCTGCGAGCTCATGCCACCACCTTGCAACCCCTGACCCCGGAACTTCTTCACAACCCCCACTCCCCTTTCTCTTCCCCGACTCTTCTTTCCCCCCCTGGCACTCCCGCCCAAACTGCCCCGGCAAATGATTCGCTACGGCTCCAAAGGCAGCTGCGCCCTCCCATTGGTCGCTGCCTCACGTCCATCAAGCTGTTCTGTCCAACTGGGCTTGGCGCCCCTGCCGGATTCTCCTCTCCGTCCCCGCCCCCCCAACTCCCAGGCGTCTCATTGGTGCACGGGGCTGGCTGGGCATTGATTGGTGCGCAGCGGCCGGCAGCCAGGCCCTCGAGCGCCTTGTGCCCGCCCCCTCCCCCCTTCTGCCCCCCCGACAGCCCCTCTGCCGCGAGTCGGCTCAGTGCAGCCCGGTGTGGACGAAGTCCGGCGCAGGCCGCGCGGAAAAGCAGTTCGTCTGGCCGTTCCCCCGTACCGCCGCGTTCGCACGCGCCCCTTCCTCCCCGCGGCAGTTGAGGCTCGCAAGGGACCGGGCGCTGGGCTCGCGCCGCAGGGCCCGGGGCCAGAGCCGGGGCTGGGGCCCGGGCAGGTGCTCCACCCCCACCGGGCTTCGCCCTCGGCGCAGGCGCAGTGGCCGTCGC